GCATCTTTACAGGGGGCAGTCGTGATTTGAATATACGTGGCTGTATTTCATTACTTGTCTCAAATGGACATTAAGAGTTAGTCCGGATACCACGCCTACTGAGCCAAAAGGCATGGGGAAATGTATAGAATATTTCGCATCAAATTTAAATTGTGGTATTGCAGGGCAAAGCAATAAATGCAAGCCCATGTTACCTTCCTTAGGCCCTTTTACTAGGGGGAGTAGTTTGGAATACAAATAAAACCATAGCTGTACCCAACATCCTTTGTTTTCAGTTTTTATTTTGTTTAAAATTTCCCAGGTATTTCTTAGTGTCTATTACAAATATTTTAAAATGGGTGAAAATCAGTGCAAAAAATTAATTTCTCAGTTTTCTGGATAAATATCAGCATTAATACTGGGGGACAGGAGGACAGAAAAAAGCAACAAATAAAGAACAATAAGTGTACTGAAAGTAAAAGCAGTTTAATGCTGTGGTTTATTTCATGAGTAGTCCATTAACAGCATGTACATCTTCCACTACATTGTGTTACTTTAACAGATAGATGTCTTTGTGTTAATAATAAGCTACCTAATGTAATGGACTGGATTTGCTTAACATAATCAGCATTTTCAGGAGTAGTCCAAAATTCATGTGAAAATCCAGTAAAAACTGAATAGCTTTTTTTAAAAACCCAAGAATTGTTCAGTAAAAACTGAAAACAAAGGGCCTTTGTTGTATTGCAATATGTTTAACCAGTTTTTTTTCAAGCTCTCTATTTTTATTGCAATTAATTAATCAATTGTCACTGTTTTTACTGCAACCATTGCAGAATTATGCACATGAGTGCCAGAGATGGAATGTAAGTAAGGTCAGTGCCAGAAGTCCAGGGAGACTCCTCTTCTTTCATCATTGTGCTATGTAATCCTCCAGGACCCCTTCGAGGTTGCAAATGACTGTTCTGGAATTTCGAAAGTGAATTGGTGTCTATCCAAAATACACTTATTGTAGTCTTAGATTTGCCTTCGTCTTTTAGAGTTTAACAGTTTAGTTTTGGGAATTATTTTTCTTCTCTCGCGAATGGATTTTTGTTCCATTTATTGCCCACTATCAGATCTGGTTACAATTTTGAAAAACATTTTATCCAAAAATGGCAAATTCTTCATGACATTGTGTTGCTGGTTTTGATCAGTTCTACCTGCAGTGTACATATACAGCTCTGGTAGCTGTCTTTGGGTCAGGTGTGAATGAAAAGGGTATGTGAATGGTCTGTGTTTATAATGCCTGGTGGCAGAGGTGGGCTTAGGGGTGGCTGTCCAGAGCAGTGAAGTGTGTTCAGGTGGTTGGGTAGCTGGGAGGTCAATTGGTATTACAGGCAGTATAGGGCAATGGTTGGAACTCTTGCAGGGGTCAGTAGCTGGAAGAGCCAATCCAAGGGGCCAGGACAGTGGGTTGGGGAGGCAAGGTGACAAGGCAACCAGCAGGCAACAACGTGTTGCTCAGACAGCTCCCTCTTCCTGTTGGGGTCTTTATATAGTCCAGGTACCCAATGAGAGTGCTATCTGTCCAGCCAATCAGGGGCCTGGGGTATGGCTGCTACAGGGCTGTAGGCCTTTAGCACTAAGGCTGTTGGTCAATGGCGGTGGTTCAGCGCATTACTGTGGTGCTAAGGATGCCACCTGGGGACCTGATGGACCAGGGTTGAATAGTGGGGTCCTGATGGTTTTACTGAATTTTAGCTCCATCCATCCTTTCTAACTGGTCCTGCAATCAGACCCTGCACTCAGGGTCTTTCCCAGCGCCCTTTGACAAAATACCCATTGACTTCAATGAAAGTAAGATCAAGCTCAGAACACTTACGAGACTCTTGAGAGAGTTCTTGGGAAAGAGTCTCTTGCTCCAGAGAGGGGACGATATGGGTATTTTTGAAACAACATATACCTTTTTGCATAATTTCTATCATAAAGGAGTTGTTGTATTACAAGAATTTTAATAATCTGCATTTAAACGCTATGAAAAATGCTGCCAACTACTCTAGTTGGAGACTATATTCTTTCATCTTAGCCTGTGCTTAGAACAAAGCGCTGTCCACTACAAATATAATAGAGCATATTTTATTTATTGACTTTAGAAAACTTTTATTGCACTGTTGCATGTTACAATTTTAAAAGTGCCAAATCTTGAAGCAGAACTCTCTAGCTCTTAAGCACTGTCACGGTCTCAGCCTTATTATCTTACATAGCCCAGCCTCTCTTAAGGAATCAATTCATGGCCTTCAACCTGTGTGTGTGTGTGTGTGTGTGTGTGTGTAATATATCTTCCACACACAACTACACTAAAAGAACATTATTAAGGTTGCAAAGTCAAACACTAGAAAATTAGCAAACGCCAGAATTAAAGTTGCTTGTGCAGTCTCAATTTGGGCCCCGTGTGCATATGCACAATCATTCTGTCTTTAATTACATGATCACATACTGTTTTTCCATATTTCAATGTGAGATGGCTTGGACCCATCTTGCAAGCACCACAGCAACCAAAGCAGCAGTACCTGCAAACAGGATAATACAAAGAAACCTTTCATTTTCATTGCACATGTGTGCAAACACAAAAGTAGTAATATCACTTCCATATGACACGTTCTGTTCAGTTCTTCAGTAATAAAACAGGCTTATCTAGCCTGCAAGTCCTAAAAATTATAGATGGTATGTTTTCAGCGTAATGCGCTGAAATTAGCACACAGTTGTGGTTAACTTACAGAGAATGGACCCTTTCTTCTTTGCAGAGGAAAGGCCGCATCTCACTTCTAACTTTGTGATGGGTGTTTGCGTCTAGATTCACAGCACCACCCGATGGACAAGGGGCCGTGCTATAGCTTTTATCCTGATCTGTCTCTCTTGAATGCACTTTTGGTTTAAAGTGAATAAGTGGCCATTCTTTGAATATTATTGATATGCTTTGTGGGTGAGAAGCAAGTTTGAATGCTAACACAGGATGGGCTATTATAGTAGATACTCTTTCGAGTTGGGTTTAAGAATGACATTGTTAGGTGTTTCTGCATTTGAGTATTAAGACAAAGATTTTCAAAAATGGTTGGCTGAATTCATGCTTGTAGGCCAGATTTCTAAAGGTGCAGAGAGGCACCTAGTGGAATCTACAGAAGTGTCTAAATATCTTTTTGTAAATCTGGGTGCTAAATCCTTAAAGCCATGTCTGCTCTTAATGTGTCTTAAGCACATGCTTGACTTCAGTGGGTTTTACGTACATGCATTAGAGGGTTGTTTTTTTTTCTGAATTGGGGCCTAAATAACATCAGTGGGAGCTGCTGGTTTGTAAACCAGACCACATTCAAGGTCTATATTTGAACGTAGGCTCCTAGCTTTTTAACTCTATTTTTGAAAATCTTGGCATGAACAAAATACACAACAAATATAGCATGTGCAGTGTTTCCTAATGGAAACTGCAGTTTCCATCCGATAAGACTGAAGAATAAAAGATTACATTGCAGTGCATTTTCCTCACATGGAGTAAGCTGAATTGATTCTCATCTTGATGAGTCAGGTGTGGGGGGGGGGGAGGTGTATTTATGCTCAGAACACCCATTAACACTGATGAGTTATCCTTGTAAATCCTCCATGTGGTGCACAGAGAATAAATCTCTGCATCTAAAGCCTTTGATATGCAATACTTGTAAAATACAAAATAATATGAAATCAATTACAGCAGTCCTGACCCTGCCTGAGCATTTATTAAACATTATGCATGGTGTTCTTAAACAGCAAGCCAGTGCTGAAGGAATTTCAAGGATGAAATAAGACAAAATTACTGAGCTCTGATGTTTTACGGTTTGGTATTAATCTGGAATTCTTCAAGATCTTCATTCCTTTCTTTCTCTTTCTACTCTTCTGTAGCCTTTTACAAAAATGATTCATCAAAACATAGAAACCTTGTAGAACTATAAATATTTCTTTGTATACAAATGACCCAGACCTTTTTGAGCTCTATTTGCTGTCCTCCTAGGGCAGAGGTGGGCAAACTATGGTCCGCGGGCCACATCCGGCCCACAGGACTGTCCAGCCTGGCCCTTGGATGGGTTGGGGGTTCTGAGGGGAGGCAGTCAGGGGGTGGGAAGTGTGAGGGGGCAGATGGAGGCAGGGGCCAGGCTGTTTGGGGTGGCACAGCCTTCCTTACCCAACCCTCCATACAGTTTTGGAACCCCGATGTGGCCCTCAGGCCAAAAAGTTTGCTCAGCCCTGTCCTAGGGCCTGGTTTCTGTTACAGTCGATGGAAGTTTTGCCCAGTGGAGATTTTGCTTATGAAAGCTGTTGAAGTCAATGAGATTTAAGTGTGTTCTTGAAATTAAGCATCTGCTTTCCTGCATGGCAGTGTGTCCTGAGAGTGGGATTTGATCCATAGTCAAATTAAACGTGAAATTCATGAGTTACAGTATTTTCCACTGCTATTGCTATGTCCTCCCTTGTTTTCTTTACAGCCTCTCAAATACATTTTTAATTATTCTGTAATGTAATTTGAGATGCATAAAAAGCTCTCTTTTGTACATGTTAGACATTACTGAGTGCCTCTCTTGATACCTCAGTTCTTGAATGCGCTGCAGATTTGCCAGGTGTCCTAGCCTCTGTGACCTCTTGTTTGATGTCACCCAGGACCTCTTATTTGGGGGCTAATAACTTTTCAGTGATCGCATGGAGAACTGAACAGGGTTCTGGGACTTCTGTGCAGAATGGCACCTCAACACCTAGAAAGGTGGACTGTGCCCACCAGTGAATACAAGGACACTGAATGTAAAATGATATAAATCTTAGCCTAACAAAAGCAGAGTAAGTATTAACTGTGGATACTCTGAGCTATTTAAACCTTTAAAGTACTCTACCTAATGTCTCTGTTAGTGAAAACTAATTAGAACACTTGACTCCCAAATGAGAAGCTTTTGAGAAACCTTAGATGAACATTTTTGCTGTCATCTCTGACCTCCTATGCTTAGATAAGTCCTGTTGTTCTACAGGCCGATGTTGGTTGGATGCTCTGGAACTTGCCCTGCGTTGCTCCAGTCTCTTCCGACTCAGCGCCTCCAAACAGGGGAAGGATGGAGACCTGAACTGCTCTTCTGATTCTTCACATGCTGGGCTGTATAACCTGTTGCACACGGCCACCATCTCTGACCAGGAGCTCTTCCAGTAAGACTGTGCTTTTAGCTATTGTACATGTAAAGGTGTTGGTTGGTTCATACACATGACTCATTTTTAACCATATTATTTTTTCAGACTACACACTAGCCACCATTGGCTTGGTGAGGGGCTATAGTCTAACCTGTCTCTGTCTAGGTTCTTGTACCACACCCATCACTAATATCTGGGTATCTTTTGGGAGAGATGGGGAATAGCTCTCTCTTTTGGGTGCTGTCCTGTAGTCTACAAACTATGAAAGGCTTGGTTAGAGTTCCAGCTGTGTGAATGTGCATAACAAAGGACCCATATTGCCTTAGTTGGGCCAAACTTCTGTTGAAGCTGTTGGAGGTAGACAGGGCTGTCCTTACCCAAACGCAAAGTACGCAGCTGTGTAGGGCACCAGGAAACTTGGGGCACCAAATTTCCTGGTGCCCAGCACAGCTGCGTGCTGCTCCAGCCCCTGCCCTGCCTCTTTCCCAGGCCCTGCCCCCACTCCACCCCTTCCCCAAAGCCCCTGCCCTGCTCCGCCCCAGCCCTGCCTCTTCCTGCCCCTGAGGAGTGCAGCAGGGCTGGACCTGCATTCACCCACCGGCAGCGGGAAGTGCAAGGCCCCAATCCTAGCCGCGCCACCGGTGAGTGCTGGGGGGTGGTTCCCCCCTGCCCCCCAGCCAGCCCCCCATACCCTCGTGGAGGCCTGGGACCCCCACACACACACCCGTGGGGGAGGGGGACTGTGTAGGGCCCCAGAATAGCTAGGGACGGCTCTGGGGGTAGGAGTGGGGATAGGCTTTACAGGGGTTATCAGTCTACCAGTGAATCCAGCCAACAAATGGAGTATGCTAACCAGACGTACTCACTCTAGCATCTGACCACCAATTGGTAGATATGGCCGTGAGTGTGATTTTTCTTATAGTGAGGTACTCTCAGTGCTAATAGTAGTACTATGTTATAGTCAGGAGAGCACACATGCTCCAAGGCTATAGTTTCGTAACTGCTGTCTCCACTGAGTTGGTGGATTCATGGTTTCCTGCCTCTTCCCCAAATGCATCATAAGATTAAAATTTACATTAAAAAAGTCACTGCAACCATCTTCCTATCCACACTCCTAATATTACAGTAGCATCTCATAGCACTTCACTTTAAAGACTGTTGGAGTAAACATAGGGGTTTTCTCTGCACCTTCCAGCTAGACAGGTTGCCTTAAAAATCTCACCGCTCTAGCGGATAGGATGCTGGGCATAAAGCCAGCCTGGTTCTGCCTCTGAGTTGTTGTGTGACCTTGGGCAAGTCATTTTACCTTCCTGTGTTTCTGTCTTGTCCCCACCCTTTGTCTCTCTTTTCTATTAAGGCTGCACGCTTTTGGGGGCAGGGATTGTCTCTTGCTATGTGTACATGCAGCAACTAGTAAAATGTTGGCCTGTAGACAATACCACACTATGAATATAAGAATATTATAACAATAGGAGAATCCAGGTCCTTTTCAGAATGTGGAAGTATCTTTGCTAATCACAAGGCAGGACACAGACTTGTCAGAAGCTCGGTGATCCAAAGCAGCAATGTATGTGCAGTTCTCTTGTTTTGCAGGCCTGTTGTATTTTCAGCACTTTATGCATGCCATTGTTCTTCAGCGCTGAGCGGAACTTCCTTTGATACCCAGCTATAATTTGCACCATAAACAATGATCATTTGTTCTGAGTGTCTAGTTCTTTCAAGGTATAACATGGGGTGGGACAGAGCAGCAGGAAATCAGATGTGTTACTAGGACCTGCAGATTTAATTGTGCATATATGTGTTTATCTTACGGGTCTGTCCTTTGATGTTGATGTCTCAGATTTCCAACTCTCTTCTTAGGAATAAGTATACAAATAATAGTGCCTGCACTGAGAGCCTTTTAGTTGATAGTGAACCAATGAGTATTGTGTAGCTAGCCTTTAAATGGGGATTGGTTGACTGTAAGGTTCTAAGTACAAAGAAACACTGAGATATATGTTGTGGTAGAGAGTTTGTGCCTTTCTTCAGACGTGTGCATATGCCAATCCTGTGTAAGACTAAAATCAAATACAATGTGCTGGTAATGGCACTTACTACAGTTTTGGCTGAGGATGTGTTTGTGCCTGTTTGTTCGTATAATACTAGTCCTTAGGGGCTTCAATCAGGGTTTGGGTCTCATTGTGCTAGGTGCTGTACAGATGAGTAAAAGAGACCGGCCCCACCCTGGATAGTTCACAGTCCATATGCCACCCCTTCTCTTGAGGGGCACCATTATGATGTCATGCCACAAATAAATCCACTACTGTGTCTGTCTGTGGATCAAAAAGGAGAATGGTGCCTTGGGAATGTGCATTCAGACCTGCAGCTGCAGTTAATAGAAAGTATAGGATAAAGAAGAGAATGTGTTAAGCTTCTAACTTAAAGATAAATCATGCATGTACAACAGCTACTCTATTCTCTGCTCACTGGTTGAATTTTAAGGGCCCTACTCGGGCCTCCTGATTTACAGAACTCAGCAGCTTCCCATAGGGCCAGAATTTCAAAAGAGCTCAGCCCCTAGGCCATACTCGTGGGTGCCAAACCCTCTTCAGAGCCTGGCGCACCGTGTATATCATTCTCAGTTCTGGTGCGTTGTGTGGCTCTACCACAGGATTCAGTTTTTCTCAAAATTTTTGAGCCTCGGAGAATTTGGCAGCTACGTTACGAGGGTAAAATTCCCCAAAGCAGCAGCAGCAGTGGTGCAAAATGGGGTGGGAAGGGGAGTACGTGGAAAACCAGCTATCCAACTGTTGAGGAGATTCTTGGTTTGCCACTCACAGGGACTCATTCATTCTAATTAAATGCCTTCCCTTCAGGGAATCCTGCCCAATTAAGTTGGCACGCTGTTATTAGGGGGCCAGTTAATTACATTTAACTGTATCTTCAAATTAGTCAAACTACTCTGCCAAAAAATAAAATGGAGCCAGATGTTCTATGTTGGGGGGGGGGGGGGCACTCCTCCCCTTGTGGGGAAAATCTTCTCTTGAGCCAATGCTGTATTTTTCCACTGGCTGTTTCTGTTCCTGTGTTGGTGGGAAAGAAATAGAGGAGACAACCGTAGCAAAAATCAATCTATTTAATAATCGGAAAGAGGGTGAACTTTCAAAGCACCTTGCAGGGTCACAGCCTCTTGACTTCTCTGGAAATAAATAGGAAATTGGTGGCTATAACCCTGCAGAAGTCCGTTTTGATGTTAAGCATGAGGTTTTCAGGGGCATAGAGACTTCTGTTTTTATGCGTAAGCCTGTCTGTTTGTTGTTGCTTCCACCACCCCCATTTGTGTGCCTCTCTAACTGTGGTCTGTTCTGTTTGACACCTTGATTGTAAATTCTCTGGGACAGGTACTGTTTACTTTATGTACAATGGTGCCTTGACCCTTGTTTGGGGTTCCCAGGTGCTGCCATAGTAGAAATCATGAACAATACTATGCTGCTCTGATGCACATAGTGCTCTTTGATACAGTACACGTGGATGGAGGGCAGTAACATAGCCCTGAAACAAAGGGCTTCCTCTTGTTTGAGTGAGTGAAGGTCTCCTGCTGCCTTTAAACACTGTTGTTACAGCTCTGCATTTGGGATTTGATCCAAAGCCCATGAAAGTCAATAGGAGTCTTTCCATTGATTTCAAAGGATTTTGAATCAGGCCCATAATTTGGCTTTTGTTTTTAATGTATTTACTGATTTTTAATTTTTTTAATGATCCTGTTTGAAATGGTGTGGCTCCATTTCATTCTCCCCATCTGTGAAGTTTGATATTCACTCTGAATAGCATGTGTCTTCCTTTGTGCTCCCCAGAGTAGCACTATAGCTCTGAGTATATTGAGGTCTGACATGTAGCAGGCTGATTTGGTAATTACTGCACAGAGCTAATATTTGGGGAATTTCAGGTGAATTAACTCCCTTCTGTTCCACTGCTCTGGAATAACTGAAATACCAGAAAAGTGTCGTTGCAGAAGGATTTGTTTGGTTAGGAAAGAGCAGAAGTACAAAAGGAGTAAGACTTGCCCCAGCAGAAAGTTTAAATCCTCTCACAACTTACAGGAAGATCATAATTAACAGAAGTTGGGCTTTTTACAAATGCTGTTAAATTAAGCATGTGCTATTTCTCAAACATTGACACTGGCCCATATTGTGAACCTTTCTCTCAAGTACACACATCCCAAGGAGAAGATTTTCACAAGGGAAGGGAGCATGACACTGACAAATTGTGCTGATTGTTGACCCCAAAGAAAATAAATCAAGCCTGAATTGTCAGCAACAAACAAATGATCTGCCAAACCAGCAAGTATCTGCGCTGTGAGATAATGGGATAATCTCTTGCCTCCTTTCTCTCCCCACCCCACCACCCCCTTTTTTTCTTTTATGGTCTTAAATTCACATATGCACTAAACTCAACTTCAGATTAACTTTTCAGTCATTATGCTTGGTAGCCATTGTCTGACACAAAACACAGAGGCCCGATCCTGGCACTGAAGTCATTGGAGCTGCATAGTTTATAATATCAGTGCTGGAATGTAATAGCCATTAATCCTCTGGCCCTAAACCTATAATCATACTGATCATTGCAAAAAACTATCATTTAAATTAGAGATTAGAAAAACCGCTCCCACATGTATAAGACGCTACTCGCCAGACTTTCAAAAGAGCACAACGGACTGAGTACTGGGCTGTTCTAGAAATCTGACTAGAAGTGTTGCCATGGAGACTGATGGGCGCTGAGCACTTTTTGAAAATCTGGCCCTTATATGGGACCCTAAATGGGAACTGAAAATCTGACACCAATTCTGGATTCTGAGCACTTAAAAATCTGTCTAATTGGCAAAACCTAAAAACAAAGAGAGAGAGAGAGTGAACAAGCGAGTTCTCATATAGAATCAAAATAGCAATGTCTCCAAAGAGAGCTGATGGGGAAACCCCATCGTGGAGCCATTTAAAACTAGACAAAGCATTCTAATATACTGAAGAGAGAGATCCTGCTTTGGCTGGGAGACCGACTAGGTGACCTAGTCTTCGATCTCCATTTTCTTTGATTCTCTGAAATACGTTGGTAATGCAGAAAATCTTTTGTTACTATAAGTGAGTGCCTCGTGCATTTAAATTATGCATAGAGTTTGTATGCCTGTTAGGATTCACAAGATGAAACCTAATAAGCTTAGTGTATGCTAGTAAAAATCATGATCTCTACTGTCAATATCACCTACTGATTAAAATTAGGACAGTCATTGATATTGCACTCTGGGATAATTCCCAAGGATATAAAACAAGACACTGCATGGAGGCTTCATAGGAGACTGTGACATTCCAGAGTGCAAGTCAAGCCAGTAAGGGACTCTGGCACCCCTGCTCTGCAACCTTGGTGCCTTACAATGCCTTACAGCAGTAGCTCCATCCTCGGCCTGCTCACAAACAGTCTTCCAGCATGGAAGCCACACCCTGAGTGTCTGTGTGTAACTGCAGCCTGCCAGCCACACTTCACTTACACTCTGGCTTTTACCAACCTTGGTTACTCCTGTAGGTTGACCCGACATGCTCCCAGTCCCAGATTTCCTCTCCCCAAATGTGTGTTCTGTACTGGCTAGCCCCCTCCTGGACAGTCCAGAGATATTAGGTCCATTGTCCCTTTAAGGGAACAATACACAGCTTGCCACCATAAATGGAATTACCCAGACAATTTAACTTAACTAACCTAGTGTGTTTTCAATTAAAGAATAAAACAAGTTTATTTAACTACAAAGAGGTTTTAAGTGAGTACAAACAATGATGCATAAAAGTTAGAAATGATTATAAGAAAAATAAATATAAAACGCTTCCTAGTGCCTAACTTAACAAACTATACTTGATTCAAAGTACAATTCTTACCAAAGTACAGTTCTTCCAACAGCATTACTGACCAACCTTTTCAGGTCAGGACCTCTCCCCCAAAATCCAGCGGCCATTTCTTTTGTCCTCTTAAGTGAAAAGAGGGAGGTGGACAGGGCAAGAGATAAGGTGGGGTATACCCCTCACTTGTATACTTCAATCCCCCTCGTAAAGTTCTTTTCAGTTGAGAGCAAGTAGATGTCTGTTGAGGAAAGATGCTTCATGCTGTTTTCTTGCTGAGATGTAGATTTTCTTTGTTTCCTTTCTTTTCTCCCTTGCGGTCTGGAGACTCTGTTTACAGTTTATATGCAAATTGAGGTAACCACAAACATCCTTTTGTTTAAGACCTGCTTGACCACTTGTGCCTAATTGGGGCTTGAGATTGAACTACGTGAGTTTGAGCATGTCCCTTTAACATTATACAGGGTGGATTTTATAACTTTTCACACAATGTTGCTACGTACATGTCACTGATATTATTGACCAGTGACTTACTAGTTTTCAAATGATACCTCACAAGGCATATTTTGTACAAAGATTATTACATGAGTGTGTAGGGTGTGGATGCAGGGGTGCATTTGGTCACAGAGGCATGGGCCATATCACAATAAAACAGTTCTTATGTTGGCATTCTAAATTGCACGGAGACCCAGAGTATCACTATTAGCTGGAAGGAACATAGATAAATCTGTGTTGCTACAGCTGACTTGCCATCTTATAACTCATTTAAGGGGTGCGTGGGGGAACAGTGGGTTCATGAACAGAAAAGAAAACTGTGAGATGTGGTAGGATTGCCTTAATTGACTGAGTGGTAGGCCCCTTCCTTGCCATATTTTAAATTAACTAAACTTAAAGTAATAGTTTCTTATCTATGAGAAACTAAGTATTAATATGGAAAATAACTGAGCACTAGGCACTAAGTTTTACTTTGAAACAAAGGAACTGCCACTCTGGATCAGACCAGTGGCCCATCTAGTCTAGTATCCTGTCTGACATTGACCAGTACTAGTTTCTTCAAAGGAAGGTGCAAGAAACCCTGCAGTTGGCAATTCATAGGATAACCTGCCCCAAAGAACTTCCTCCTAACCCTCTTTATTTGGAGGTTGGATTATGCCCTGAAGTAGGAAGGCTTATATAGGGTGACCAGATGTCCCGATTTTTATAGGGACAGTCCCGATTTTTGGGTCTTTTTCTTATAGAGCCTCCTATTACCCCCCACTCCCTGTCCTGATTTTTTTCACCCTTGCTGTTTGGTCACCCTAGGCTTATATCCTTTCCAACTCCTGTTTTTTGTTTACTACTATAACTCTGGATATTCTTGTTTTCCACATAAATGTCCGATCCTTGTTTTGAATGCTGCTAAGCTCTTGGACTCAACAATATCTGGTGGCAATGAGTTCCACAGGTTAATTGTGCATCATAGAAGGGGGGCGGTATTTCCTTTTATCAGTATTAAATTTGTGATTGAATGTTCCCTTGACCTTTATTGTTTTGACTTAGCATCTTCCTCTGTTGAAATAGAGTAGTAGCGGTGGTGGTGATGATGAAAATAATGTATTCCTTTATGCCATTCTTTGCCTTAGCCAGTAGCGCATAACATGTGGCAGGTTTTTATGCAGGCAAAAATCTCTCTTCTTTGAGACACACTGCAGATCTCTGTCTGAAGAAGCAGTCAGTGTTGTATATTCTGCATTCATTCTGTATGTCGAGTTTTGATTGAAGCCAATAGGAGTTTCTTATGGGGGCAAATGCACATATGCAGTGGAGTTCCACAGTGTGGACTCAGGAGAATTGTGACCTAAATGTTTTACTGCTTCCATGGTCTAGACCCAACCACTCAGCAAGTTGTTGTCCTTCGCTCTTTCTGGTTGCAAGCCTTATTTTGCGTCCTGAGGGCTTTTTTCATATTGGCTAAAATGCTGTTCATAATCTGGTTTCATAAATCAAATTGAGGCAATGTAACAAACCATGTATTTCAGTTTTAATGAATCAGCCCTGGAAAATCACCACGTGGAAAATGATGCTTTTTCGGACAAGTCTGAGAGAGACAACATAGAGGAGTCTGAGAATGAAACTCAGGAGAACAGCCGGAAGACGAATGAAAGCGAGAGTGACCAGTCTGAAATTCACGGGGATATGTCCCAGGAAAGGAAAGGGACGACCTATATGGAACAGATCTATGAGGAATTTGGGGAGGTAAAAAAAACTTTCTGAGCTCTATCTATTCCACTGAAATGTCTCTGGGTTCATATTGTTCATCTCTCCATTGTATTCAGCCTCCAGGATGCAGGACAGTCGAAAACTGCTCTGTGGGTTCAGATATTTTACAGGTAATGCTATCTGAAGATTTCTGCCAAATTATGTTGAATTGTCCTTACTCGGTAATTGTGTGTGTTATGAACAGCAGCTCCACTATTGCCCTTTGGCATGTTTCCAGGATCAGTGAGCACTTCAACTGGGCATTGCATTAAGGAGCTGTATAGCATTGCCACAGTTCATTACACTGCAGGAGGGGAGTTATCATTCCAAGCCTGTATCCTGACTAACTAGGAGGCTTCAGTCCATTGCCTGGTGCAAAATATGGTACTTTCTTTCTTATTCATGTTGCACAAAATGAACCTTTTGTATGTCCTAATGAACATCTGAGCCACTTGGTCTCCTATGCGAAACTGCCATTTAGGAATCAATTTTTCACACCGTTTAACATTAGAATGCATTCATGTCTAACATGAGCGCCTTTGTTGGCTTTGTCACTGTGACTTCTTTGATGATGATAATGTTACAGCAGCTTGTGAAGTTGACAGCATTGGGTGAAAGTCAGCTGGAGGAGGCTGTTCAGCATTGGGTGAAAGTCAGCTGGAGGTGGTGTTCTGGATTTACACCAGGAAAGCTGAGATCGGAATGTGGCCCGCTGTTTAAACAATGAAATTAGATTCCTGTTGATGCATCACAGAAAAGCATTTTGCTCTAGAGATGTCTGCCCTGGGGATTTACTCTGATTTCAGCCATCATTGGCCAGACAGCACCGTAGCTGCAGCAGTCCAAACCTTTAGCATAGATGAGGTAAATAGCTACAAGCCGTGACTTGCACCAGTGCAGTTTAACCCTGGTTTCTTGCAACGATAAGCTGCACCGGTGCAAATAGTGGCGTGAGCTGTCTATATTAGTAGGTTGCATCAGTGCAGCTACACTGCTGGCCAGAATCATGACAAACTCCCAGTGTAGACAAGGCCTCTGTCTCATGGCTTGAGACATCCCACGCGTGTTTATGGCTAAGGAGACGTGACTGGAAGAGAGGGGGGAGCGGGGAAATGTTGTTCAGGGGCAGCCATTCTTCTGCTTGGTCACTACTCCTGCTGTGTCTTGCTCACTTCAAATCCTAATGTACAGCAAGCAATTACAACACAAAGTATTATGACTCCAGAGTAAGACTATGCAGCAGGAACAAAGAGAAATTAGCTCCGTCCATGGAAATAGGTATTTAGACCATTTCTAAAACATGTGTGTCACATAATAGACTGTCATGAAGGTGTTAGCAGGGTAGGTAATTTGGCACTTCTTGAAGTGGATTTTTGACCCAACTGACTGTAATCGCGCCATTCACTGGTGGAGAGTACACCTGTCTAAAGTATGTGGTGCCCTTTTTAATTTTAAATGTCTACCAAAGCTATAGCACAAGTGCAATGGAATAAACTTTGATTGTATGGAGTGGTATCTTTCATGCTGAGTGTAGCCTCAAATGAGAGAAATACTGGCAGCAGATTGACTGTGCAGGCAAATTTGGCACCCAGTATGCCCTCAAATACTTCACACGCTGCTTTGATCATTGGGTGCTGTGTTTCATATTTCTGTTTAGAGAGAGTGCGTGATCCTTTTTCCACCTGGACTTGCACCTGAGATAGGTGAAAGGGACCTAGATGTAATATCTCAACTAGATGATGCCACTGACGAGTAAAGTACACCCCTCCCTTCAATACTGCACTTCATTATCAGCACTGGTATGGGATGGGTCTGAGATATTGAGCTGCAGTAGCCAATTTACAACACAATCCTCCTGAAATATATGCATGCTTTCTACCCTACAAAGGCTGTATAAACCTTTGATATTATGGGCCAAATTCTTTTCTTTTTTTTTTTTTTGGTTCTGTAAATTTTCAGCAAAGTTATGGAAGCTCAATTGAGGGGTATGTACATGCACTTCTACATAACGTTGCCTTAACTAAGCTTCCATATTTGTGCTAGAAATCTGCAGCACAAAACCAGTTGCAGGAATAAATTCATACTTGCAAAATTTGTCCCATAATATCAAAAATTACCCATCTTTATAAGATGGACTGACAGCAAAAAGAACTTCATTTGGAAAGCTTTGAGATAAGACGTATGAAAGCTTCTCTCCCCTCCTCCCTCCCCCCCCCCCACCCCCTATGACTCACTCTCAGGGTAAGTCTTTGTATATCAAGTCCAATCTGGAATTAATTTGTATTGCCAAGATATACACACCTGAAAAGCTGGGTAAATAAAAAACAAGGTGACAGACCCAGAATTATGAAGTCCTAGCTAGCACTACTGAAATAAGTTAACTAGCGGTTTCCATTTTTTCTCTAAGGCTTAAGCTGCGTGAATCTCTGTCACCAGAAGGATGGTAACATAATAAAAAATCAGTGGAATAAAAAGGGCTTCACTGTTCTTCATTCCCAAGTTTTCCAAAATACTACTTTAACTTTTTCCAAACCTTGCTCTAATGCAAGAAGTGAGGTGACCTACTAAAATAATATGTTACAAAGCTAGTTTGAGATGCTGCACTCAGATCTGTTGCGTGCATCCTAAAATTCTGTTTTCGTGGCATTCATCAATGCATAATTCATCCCAAGGCATGTTAGGTCATCTGCTTCCCTGTATCTAGCACTAGATTTGGGGCAACTTTTGGGAAAGAACAGATGCTTGATCTGATGGGTAAATTTCTGCATACAGAATGTAGGAAGGAGGGATTGATAGACTGTATAGTAGCATTCAGTACAGAGAGTTAGGTAATGCATTACGGGGGCAGGAGTAAACGCCAGCATAAGTGGCTAATTGGCATCCAGAAGGTGTGGGAGCAGATTCTCGGCTGCTGGTGTATATTAACTCTACTGACTTACACCACCTGAGAAACTGGCCGTTGCAGGGTGTAAAAACACATTGTCCCCCAGAATTAAATTGCATTTTCAGAAATGGACCTATTTCACTCCCCTGTGGAAATCTTTTGCCTGGGGCTCTAAAAGCAGCAGAAATCCTGATGAGATGAAATAGGGAACATAATGGTCTTTCTTCATTTAACTCTAATGCCTAGGGTGGCCTTTGGGTACCAGCTCTGATAACTAATATCAGTGTTAGACTTCATAGTGTAACTTTTAATCCTGCTGCTTGGGAGGGCTGTGCATCCTGTTCAGTGATACCTCCATGTAATTCCTTTGAAATCAAGGGAAATACCTAAGTGAGTGAAAGCAGTATGTGGTCCCTGACTTCTGGTGGTGAAAGGTGCTGGATTGAGAGTCCTGCAGGCTATAGTTCTTTATTAATTCCACATGACTGCCTCAACAGGGGTGTAGAGGAGCGGACTCACCCCTGCGCGCCTCCTGCTGGTGACTTCCAGGAATTAGCTCTTTCCAGCTCCGGAGCGCCCTCTGCAGGCCGGTGATCCGCCTGTTCTCTGGCCCCCGTGTCCCTCCCTGGACCCCGGTGCCCTTTTACCTGGGGTGCTGCCCCCTGGCAGTAACCCCTCAGTCTTAGGGTCTCCCCTCCCCAGGGAACACCCACCCACTATTCCCACCTCGCCTCAGTATAAGGCTACTGCCAGTCATCGTCTAGCCCCACACCCTGGGGCAGACTGCAATATCACTGGCAAGGTTGGGTTTGGACCTGCTGCCTTGGCCTACCCCTGGGCTGCCCTCTGCAACCCCCAGTACCTTTTAGCCCAATGCTAGGCCGCAGCCTGGGGCTTTCCAGGCTGGAGCTCCTCAGCTCCTCTGCCTTTCCCCAGCCCTGCTCCACTCAGGTACCCTGTCTCTAGCT